GGGCAACGGGGCCGACAATCCAAGAGCGCCAGTCCGAAGGCCTCACTAAATCATTCAATCGGTAGTAGCGACGGGCGGTGTGTACAAAGGGCAGGGACGTAGTCAGCGCAAGCTGATGACTTGCACTTACTGGGAATTCCTCGTTCATGGGAAACAATTGCAAGCCCCCAATCCCTATCAAGAAAGGCTTTGAACGGGTTACCCGCTCCTCTCGGGGGAAAACTCGTTGATCCCTTCAGTGTAGCGCGTGCGCCCAGAACATCTAAGGGCATCACAGACCTGTTATTGCTCAATCTCGTGCGGCTAGAATTGCCGCTTATCCCTCTAAGAAGAAGTTGCGAACTGGACACCATTTTCTGGAGATCCGTCGACTACTTAGTAGGCCAGAGTCTCGTTCGTTATCGGAATTAACCAGACAAATCGCTCCACCAACTAAGAACGGCCATGCACCACCCACCGAATCGAGAAAGAGCTCTCAATCTGTCAATCCTTCCGTGTCTGGGCCTGGTGAGGTTTCCCGTGTTGAGTCAAATTAAGCCGCAGGCTCCACTCCTGGTGGTGCTTCCGTCAATTCCTTTAAGTTTCAGCTTTGCAACCATACTTTCCCGGAACCCAAAGACTTTGGTTTTCGGAAGCTGCCGGGTCATGGGAATAACGCCGGCGGATCGCTAGTTGGCATCGTTTATGGTTAGAACTAGGCGGTATCTGATCGCCTTCGAACCTCTAACTTTCGTTCTTGATTAATGAAAACATCCTTGGCAAATGCTTTCGCAGTAGTTCGTCTTGCGACGGTCCAAAATTTCACCTCTAGCGTCGCAATACGAATGCCCCCGCCTGTTCCGATTAGTCATTACCTCTGGTTCCGAAAACCAACAAAATAGAACCGAGGTCCTATTCCATTATTCCATGCATCACCATTCGGGCCATTCAAATAGCCTGCTCTGAGCACTCTAATTTTTTCAAAGTAAACTCTCCGGCCACTCGGGACACTCGACAAAGAGCATCCCGGCGAGCCGGCGGGCGGCTGTTCGGAGCGTGACAGTAAACACCGGCGGTGCACCGTCAGTCCGGAACTGAGATCCAACTACGAGCTTTTTAACCGCAACAACTTTAATATACGCTATTGGAGCTGGAATTACCGCGGCTGCTGGCACCAGACTTGCCCTCCAATGGATACTCGTTAAAGGATTTAAAGTGTACTCATTCCGATTAAGGCCTCGGATGAGACTCACATCGTTATTTTTCGTCACTACCTCCCGTGCCGGGAGTGGGTAATTTGCGTGCCTGCTGCCTTCCTTAGAGGTGGTAGCCGTTTCTCAGGCTCCCGCTCCGGAATCGAACCCTGATTCCCCGTTACCCGTTATAGCCATTGTAGGCGCATAACCTACAATCGAAAGCTGATAAGGCAGACACTTGAAAGAAGCGGCGCCGGTGCGGAGACCGTGCGCTCAGCCCGAAGTTATTCAGATTCACCACAGGTGGGTTACGGACCGGGGCCCGACCAGTTTTGAACTAATAAAAGCGCTCTTCCCTTGCGGTCAGAGACCAATTGCATGTATTAGCTCTAGAATTGCCACAGTTATCCAAGTAAGTGGGTTTACAGATCCAATGAAACATAGCTGATTTAATGAGCCATTCGCGGTTTCGCCTTAAATCGGCTTGTACTTACACATGCATGGCTTAATCTTTGAGACAAGCATATGATTACTGGCAGGATCAACCAGGTAGCTGCTGCTGTTGGCGGCGCCTATCACGGCGGCCAAAATAGTGAGATTGAGAGAGAGGCAGAAGACATTGGGCGAGGGACCGCACGTTGGCCTTAGAGAAATAGCAAACCAGATGATCAGATCTAACTGCACCTTCTCTTGCTATCCTCGGCGCCGGCAGCGCCACCGTGTGTGCCAATCTCCTCCCTTATCCGCTCCTCTTTGCCCCAGCTCCAGCGAGGCAGCCGACATTGGGCGAGGGACCGCACGTTGGCGAATCTCCTCCCTTATCCGCTCCTCTTCTCTTCTCTTTGCCCCAGCGAGGCAGAAGACATTGGGCGAGGGACCGCACGTTGGCCTTAGAGAAATAGCAAACCAGATGATCAGACCAAACTGCACCTTCTCTCGCTATCCTCGGCGCCGGCAGCGCCACCGTGTGTGCCAATCTCCTCCCTTATCCTCTCCTCTTCTCTTTGCCCCAGCGAGGCAGCCGACATTGGGCGAGGGACCGCACGTTGGCCTTAGAAAAATAGCAAACCAGATGATCAGATCAAACTGCACCTTCTCTTGCTATCCTCGGCGCCGGCAGCGCCACCGTGTGTGCCAATCTCCTCCCTTATCCGCTCCTCTCCTCTTTACCCAGCTCCAGCGAGGCAGCCGACATTGGGCGAGGGACCGCACGTTGGCCAATCTCCTCCCTTATCCGCTCCTCTTCTCTTCTCTTTGCCCCAGCGAGGCATAAGACATTGGGCGAGGGACCGCACATTGGCCCATCTCCTCCTCCCTCTCTTTCT